GATCCATAGTAGAAAACAGAACCCCCAATAAATACCCAAGATTCGAACTCAGGTACCTGTATTACTGTTTTCTAGCATCCTGTGTGGAGCTGTGACTTCGAGACCGGCGATTGAACTTGCGGGTAAGGGGGTTGAGGGCCAGAACTTCAACACTGCTGGGCTTGTAATCTCATGTTGTTCTTTGTTTTGGAGCTTTATGGGTCCAGCGCTTGCAAGTTTTGTGTCTCTGCCATTATTCGCTGTGTGAAGGGAAGGGTACCCTGGCCTTCACCGACATTTTGAGGTATCTAGGGTTTGGGGATCTAGGAAACACGGTTGATGATATAGATCCTGCATTACCCATAGGGAATAGACCATAATTCCCATAGTTTAGGGCCCGTAAGGTAATGCAGGATCTATATCATCAACAGTATCCTGCATGTGGGAATGATATTTGTTGATTGAAGGGCATGCATAAAGTGACCTTAGTAGCTGAATGAGTACACTGTACACTGTTTGGGATAGTCCGGGATGATACTACCCCGTTGGGCCTATGAACTCCACTAAACCCCTGAACCCCCAAACCCCTAAACCCCAAACGCAGCCTCAGCTTCGAATGATGCCCCAATTTCTGTTCCGCCAGCCCTCCAGGCACAAATGCCTAGCCGACAAAACCTCGCGCCCAGGCGCAAAGTAACCCTAAAAGTTCTAGTTTCACGCTAGCCTAAGCCCTAAAGCCTAAGCCTAATCCTTAAACCCTGAAAACCTAATTCCTTGAAGCCGCAAAGCCCCAAACCCTAAACCCTGCATGCTTCGAGGCCATCGCAGCATTGCTGAGGGACGGTCGTGTCCGGCATGTGCTGGTGGCACCGGCTGCATGTAATATAGGGGCCTTGATGGAATAGGCTTCCCTTACAGGTTCTTATACAAAGTGCTTTAAGGGTTTTTACAAGGGCTGGGTATCAGAATAGGGGATTGGGTGTATATTATAGCGAAAATTAGCATGAGGAAGCCCAAGGAATACTACGGTTGATGATACAAATCCTGCATTACTTTAAGGACCCTAAACTATGGGAATGATGGTACATTCCTTATGCTGGGTAATGAGGGATTTATATCATCAACCTTATTGGTAGTTACTCAGGCCTTCATATTCAGTACTAGGGTGATCGTTGTTCAGGGTCGTAAGGGATCTAGCGGTTTTGGGCTTGGCAGTAAACCCTACTAACCCCCAAACCCTACGCCCTAAACCCTAAACTCTACACCCTAAACCCTACATTCCCATCCACCCTAAATCCCTAAACCCTACTCCCTAAACCCCTAAATCCTAAACCCTACTAAACCCCCAAAGGCCCCCTAGACCCAAGCCCTAAAAGCCTGAAGCTGCCGGGCTTGGCGGCTAACTGGGTTCTTGTTAAAGGGTTCAGGGTTTAGGGTTTTTTTTGAGCTACCACAACAATTCAAGAAACCCAAATATTTACTGTAGATCCCTATTGTGGTAACTTGAGTTAAATCCATTAACAAGGACCCAGCTTACAGTTTTGCAGGCTTTGGGCCAGGGTCTTTGTTCGGGTGGTGAGGAGCAGTTCGCGGAGGTTCAGTGACACGGGGGCTCAGTTGGCACATGTAGAAAGCAAGGGATCCCAATATAGGCCCCAAATAAGAGGCTCCTCATTGTACGAAGTTTTTAAGATTCAGAGAGGAGGGCTGCCCTAGACCGAAATTCCTAAAACCCTAAAGTTTTGAAGAAAAGGCTTACCCAGAAACCCTCATGGGACCCGAACGTCCGAAAGTCTTCAAACCCAGAAATGAAGCCTAAACCCGAAAGCCCCTAAAGCCCCTAAGCCTTAAAGCCGTGAAGCTCCATCTTCAATGTTCTCTAAATTAGGGTCCTTTTTGGGGATCCTGTTTAGAAGGGTGCCGTACTATCTTGGGGACCTAAAAAGGGACCCTTATTTAGAGAACTACGCATATGGAGCTTTGCCTAGATAACCTAGATTCTGAAGTTTTCTGCAGGAACTCATATGAAGGAGCCCTAAAGCGGTAGGTTCTACTTCTTTAAGGAGCTATACAAGGAAATCATAATGAGGAACCCTAGAAAGGTAGGTTCTACTTTTTAAGGAGGTATAAAGGGAAATCACAATCAAGGAACCCCAAAGCGGCAGGTTCTTGCGGGTCCAGGTAGGGCTTAAGCCCTCCTAAACCCTAAACCCCTGAACCCCTAAACCCTAAGGTAGGCTCTTTCGGGTTTAGGTAGGGTTTACGGCTGATTGCAGGTGGGTTGTTCTCTAAACTAGGGCCCCTTTGTAGGTTCCCAATGTAGCACGGCACCCTTATAACCCTGAACCCTCAACCCTAAACCCCTAAACCCTAAACCCTCAACCCTAAACCCCTAAACCCCTAACCCCCTAAACCCCTAAACCCGGAACCCTAAATTGGTAGGCTCTTTCGGGTTTAGGGTAGGGTTTCTTAGTAGCTGAGTAGGTAACCTTCAACCTTTTTGGGCTTATATAACCCTACCATAATTCAAAGGTTTAACCCTTTTTTGGGCTAAGGTACTCCTAAAACCCTAAAGTCCTAAACTCCTACAGTCCTAAAACCCTAAACCCTTATAAACCCTTTTTTTGGGGCTAGGGTACTCAGCCCCTAAGGTTTAGGGCTGATTGCAGGTGGCTGCTGGAGCTGGCATTTCTGTGGCCGCGGGGATTCCGGACTTCCGGACTCCAGGCGCAGAAGACCAGGTTTTAGGGATTAGGGTGTTTAGGGTGTTTAGGGCTTTAGGGCTTTAGGGTTTTTAGGGTTTTTAGGGTTTTTAGGGTTTAGGGGTTTAGGGTTTAGGGTGTTTGGTGTAGGGTTTAGGGGTTTAGGGTTGAGGGTTTAGGGTTTAGGGGGACTCCAGGCACAGCAATGTAGGAACCCTGGCCCTAGAACCCCAAAGTAGCAGGATTCATACAAAAAGAAGAAGCCTTATAAAGGCCCAGGCTTGTTGTTAATCTAATTTAAGTTGCCATAAGGGTTTAGGGATTTAGGGTTTAGGGTTTGCTATTAAGGGATTAATTGAATTTAAGTTACCATTATAGGGATGTAAGGTAAATGATATGAGTTTTTCGTATGGTAACTTAAAATACATCCCTTAGCAAGAGCCCAGAAGACGGAGGGGGCTGAGTAGGTAACCTTTCACCTTCTGGGGCTTAATAGCTAAAACTAAACCCTAAAGCCTAAAGCCTAAACCTTTAACCATATAGTCCTACTATAATATGAAAAGCTTCACATTTTTGGGCTAGGACACTCCGTCCCTAAGAGGAGGATTGCGGGCCTAGTAGTTTTAACGCATCATGGGACTTGTTGGCAAGGGCCTACTGTTGATGATATAAATCCTTAGCATTACCTTATAAGGACCCTAAACTATGATGGCAAGTATGGTGTATTCCTTATCACGGGTGAGCAGGATTTATATCGTCAACCGTAGGGTTCTAAGTAAGTGAAGGCAACTATACCTATACTTACTCCTGACCCTCATTAAGGTTCTTTAGAACCTTACTTGCTAAGTCCCGTCAGTCTCCACGCAGCGGCTTTAACGACTATGTCGACTAGGGTTTGGGTTTAGGGTTTCAGGGTACTTTCAGGGAATGATCTTGCTTGAGCATAAGGTTTCGGGTTGGGGCCTGCACGTTCTGAGGGTAGCCATGCGCGCACAGGGCGTCTGAAGTTTGGATCAATGAGTGTCTGGCGTTCTCTTGCTGCGGAAAGGGCCGGTTCCTGCCTACCCACATGGGAGTCTTTCTCACATATATTTCCGGGAGGCTTTATAAGACCCTGTTTGGGGATACTTTAACTAGGGCTTATAGGGAGCCTAAGCCCTAAACCCCATAAACCCTAAACCCTAAACCCTAAACCCTAAACCCCTAAACCCCTAAACCCCTAAACCCCTAAACCCTAAACCCTAAGACCTAGGGAATCTACATAGCTTTCATTCTCCAGGCACCGGCCTCTACGACAACTTGGAGAAGTACCAGCTGCCGACACCAGAGTCCGTCCCTGGGTTTCCGAGTAGTTTAGGGGTTTAGGGTTTCAGGTTTAGAGGGTTTCAGGGTTTAGGGTTAGGGGTTTTAGGGGTTTTAGGGGTTTTAGTGGTTTAGGGTTTTGGGGGTTCTAGGGGCTTTAGGGGTTTAGGGTTTAGGGTTTAAGGCTTCTAGGTTCCCGAGTAGTATCCCTTTTTGCCCCTTTTTGCTTTGGGGGTCTCCTTCTTAAAACACCCAAAATAGTAGGAAAACAGGGTACCCTTATTATCAAGGGGCCAACCCTAACCCCTAAACCCTAACCCCTAAACCCCTAAACCCCTAAAGCCCTAAACCCTAAACCCTAAGCCCTAAACCTAGGTTTCGGCGGAGAGAAAGGGCCATTACACTTAAAAAAAAACCTAGGTCTTCACGCTGGATTATTTCAAGGAGAAGCCCCAGCCGTTCTGCGACCTCGCCAAGGCGCCTTGGGGTTGACGGATTCAGGGATTCAGGTGTTTAGGTGTTTAGGTGTTTAGGGATTCAGGGTTCAGGGGTTTAAGGTTGAGGGTTGACTAGCTAGGCTTTTTGGGACATTTTTTATGCTTCCCCTTATGGGGCTTAAGAGGATCTTCGAGGAATCTTTCAGAGGCTCTGATGGGCCAACCTGGTTTCGAGTTCAGGGTCTCGGCATGGGTGTATGTGCTTACCCATAGGCCCCTAAGTAGTTCCTTTTTGTGGATTATGTTGAGAATCCTATAAGGTAATCCCCAAGAGGAACTACTTAGGGGCCTATGTGCTTCGAGAGGGTTCAGGGTTTTTGGACCCGTAAAGGTTGGCTAAGACTGTCACGAGATCTACCCGTGGAAATGTTCCCTTCCAAAACATAGTAGCAGAGTAGGTAACCTTTAACCTTTTTGGGCTTATATAATCCTACCATACTTGAAAGGTTAACTTGTTTTTGGCTAGGGTACTCAGCCCCTAAGAAAATGTGATTCAATACAGTTGATTGCCTTGCTGCAGGAGTTGCTGCCGGGGAAGTATCTGCCCACACTGACTCACTGCTTCATCCGCCTGCTGGAAGAAAAGGGACTGCTACAAAGGCTGTTGCTTGGAAACGATGTGCAGCAGTAGTGTTTCTGTGCTTTGTTCGGTCAATGGACAGCTTTTCGCATTGGGAAGATAGTAAACGCAATGGTGCTAAGGCTAGGAGTCTTTGACGTGTTGTTGCAGCACCGCCAAAGCGTGGGTTCTTATTTTAATTGTTTTAATGGAAGTTACCATAATAGTGAACTATAGTAGATAAATTGGTTTCTTTCTTATGGTAACTTAAACTTAACAATTAAATCCCTTAACAAGAGCCCAGAAGCTGTTCAACATCAAGGGGTGAGTCCCGGGCTGGCAGGTTCACTCAGAACATAGATGGCCTGGAACGTGTTTGTGGCATTTCCCCGGAGCTTCTGGTGGAGGCCCATGGGTCCTTTGCCAATGCCCACTGCGTCTTAGTAGCCGAGTAGGTAACCTTTAACCTTTTTGGGCTTATATAATCCTACCATAATTGAAAGGTTAACCTTTTTTGGGCTAGGGTACTCAGCCCCTAAGGTGTGGAGTGCCGTCAGCAGCACGACGTGCTTCGCTGGCGCGACTGTATCGAGCCTCGGCCATTTCCAGAGACTTTCAACTTTCTACATGCGTCGTCTTCTAGTGCAGTTTACAATCCAATATATCTGATATAATGTACTGTGCTAGACTGTCTGTACAATAATAGGTTCTGCTTCTGTTCGTATTTTAGGATCAAGGGCGTCAACAACACAACTCCTTGTCGGGAGCTCCAGTGGGCCTGATGACCTAGTGGACACTTCACTATGCAGATCTTGAAGTTTAAAGGTAAGGTCTAAAGGTGCTCAAGGCATACCGAATACTTAGTGATGCTTGGACAGAAATAGCTGAAGCAGCAGACGAAGAAGCTTAAACAAATTGATCATGGCAAAGGAGCGAAGCGAATTGCCGCGATGTGGTTCTGTGAGGGCGATACCGAAGCCGCCCGCGAAGCCAACAGATACCGAGATGGAGGAGGCAGGTTTAGGGTTTAGGGTTTAGGTCTTTCCCAAAGGCTCCATGTACCCATATCGTATATACTTAGACCCTAAAGTACCTATATAGGAACCCCTTCAAGGCCTAAGTATATACTATATGGGTACATGGAGCGTTTGGGTTTCGGAGGGTGGAGGAACACTGGTTTGATGCAAACTGCCTGCCAGGATTCTGCAACCTGTCTTTCCCTGTGCCATCAGACGAATTAAGTTGAACATCTTTCTACTTGTGTTTCACAGTTTGGGCTGCAAACCTCAAGCTACCAGCCACAGGAGTGCTAAGAGATTATTAGCAGCACGGCATTCATGACGAGTAGAACGGCGGTTGTGGTACAAACATTTACCAACAGTGCTGGCAACTTTGTCGCTGAGAGTCGCAATGTCAACAGCAGCAACACTACTGAGTCACTTGGTGCTCAGTTTCCTTTTTTTGGCAACGAATCGCCGCTCAACCCGAGGTGCTTATTTTGTTTGGAGAACTGGTATCCTACTGGCCAACCCTGCGTTTGTCTGGATTGGCCTCCCGGTTCCAAAAACTAGGTTCCCGAGTAGTACCCTTCTGCCCTTTTTATTTGGGTATTAAAGCCGAATATTAGGAAAAAGGGGTACCCTTATAATTGGGGGGTTACTGGGGAGCTTAGAAAATGCTACACCATGCAGGTCCGGAAAGAGCTCGAGACTTTGCCTGCGTTGCGAGCAGAGGCCTGTATGGAAAACAGCTTGGAGTTGTGGAGATAAGTGCACAGAGCTCCAGGTTCAGGTCGAGATCTCCCTAAACCCTAAACCCTAAACCCTAGTAATTACTATTGCATTTGGGTATGTTCAGAGTTTAGGGTAAACGCATGTTGGGAAGTCCCAAGCCCATTCTATGTAGTCGTCACTCTTGAGTCAGCAGACAGCGCTTCATTTCAAACCAGCGACACTGAGATGCCTTCGCCCTATATATATATATATGTATATACATACAATATAGCAAAAACCCTACGAGCCTATGAACCTGCAAAGCAAAAAATACCCCGAGAAGCCTGTAGCCCCAGAAGCCGCTAACCCTACAAGACCCAGGGCAAAAGACCCCCCAACATCAACGTAAGACAGGCGCTCCTCTCTGAAAAGCCCCAACCCAGAGACTCAAATATCCCTTAGTTATCGGAATATACCGCAAATTATAATAGGAACCCTAAAACGATTTAAGGTATATTCCCTGATTGCGGGACCCTAAACCCTAAACCCTAAACCATTTACGGGATACTGGAGTCTCTGGGAAAGTGTCTATTGCTATGTGGGATCCCAAAGCCTGAACCTGAAAGCGAAAGCCCCAAAACCATAGTTTGCCAAGACCACACCTTTGATGTTTTTTGGGGGGGTTTAGGGGTTTAGGGTTTTTGGGTTTTGTAGTTCGGTAGAAATCTGAAGTTTGACAGTTTGTGTGGCTTATTGGGGGAGTCAGGAGCCCTGCACCGGTGGCTTATCTCGAGGGGCAGCCTCTAAACCCTAACCCCTAAACCCCTAAACCCTAAAACCCTACACCCCTAAACCCTTAAACCCCTAAACCCTACTGTAAAGTGGTGCTGCAGGCTTCGATGGCTCTGGGCGACTGGCATAGTCAGGTAGCCAAACACCCTCCTACGGGTCCATGTATCCAAATAGTATATACATTGGCCTTAAAGTAGTCCCTATATAGATATACTATTTGGGTACATGGACCCTGGGGGCCCCCAACCCCAACCATTTTCCCGAATGCCCGAAACCCGTAAACCCCTAAACCTCTAAACCCCTCAACATCAACCATTCTCCCGAAAGCCCGACAGTGATGCACTCCCGACCTTCAGTCCTTGAGCCCGATGCTGTGTTACCCAAAGATGCACTGTCAGAATGCCGTTTGGGGATCGCGCTCAACGATGTAGCCCTTCATACCCGTGGGGTTCCGCATGGAGGTCTGGGTGCTGCTGCAGTGACTACAACTGTGGACACGCGGCTGGAGGAAGAAGCCCTTCATAATCTTATGGAGAAGGTTCTGGGACAGCCCGCCTATGGTATTGGATCGGTCAACTTGTCGGAAAGGTGGGTTGATTTGGTGAAGACAGGCAAAGTGGTCGCCAAGGTCACGATTCCCTCTGACAACGATCCATCACAGGACATTTCCGTGGAGTACGGCGTTCGACTGGCTACAACGACGCGAGCTGTCGCCAGTGCAAGCGATGAGCTTTGCTTCGAAGAGTTTGTTCAGCAATCCGATCTCCCAGTGGGGCAGTTACCAGCTCCGTCGGAACTCGTCCGAAGCGTGAATGAGACGCTCTCCCAACTGTCGGCCGCGGGTCCGTCAGTGAAGTTTGCTAGAAATGGAGACTTCACCGCCCAATTACAGCTGGTCCGAACTCTGCGGCCAGCGCCATCGCCGGGATTTGCGGAGCCCACTTCTTCCATTCCACCTCGCTATGACTCGACGACGGACTCTTTCGTAACCGGACCATTGCGACTGGAACTGCGGCCCCTGGTAGCAACCGTTTTCAAAGATGGCAGCCTGACCACACCATGGGACATCTTCCACAATGTTAGCCCCGCCGACACTCGAGGCCATTTTCTTCTTTTGCCCACTCTGTCAGATCCCGACAAGAACTTGAGAGGCCAGATCTTTGAGTCTTCCGACTGCCAAGATATGGTGCATTTGACGAGTAGCATCGAACCTCCTGGTGCTTTGTTCTTGGGCTTCAACAGCGCAGGTGCTGGGGCGAGTCAGAACCACATTCATTGCCACGCTTGGCCTTCGCCGCCTGTCTCCCTTTTGCAGGAGGAAGCGGCAGGTATCACAGCAGCAAAGGACGAGAACCAGCAGGATGTTGAAAGAACTAATGGGTGGGACTCTTATGCAGCAACTAAAGTTGGAGTTCTGCGCGATATCTATGACCTCACTGAAAAACGGGTGGAAGTGTCATATCTGAAGTACCCGGTCTTTTGTGTCCAACTGTGCGCAGTGGAAGCGGAACTGGATCTACTGGGGCAAGCCCTGAAGGTAACTCTTGATGCCGTCGGTGGAGCTCCATTCAATATCGGATTCTTAGCAGCTGAGCAGGTAACCTTTATCCTTTTCGGGCTTATATAATCCTACCATAATTGAAAGGTTAACCTTTTTTTGGGCTAGGGTACTCAGCTGCTAAGGATTTCTCAATCGTCTGGAAGAGCCGTTGCTCGACGAAGGAGAGGCACTGGACAAAGCTCCGGTCAGATCCCAGGTTCCCCTGTAGTACCCTTTTGCCCTTTTCTGGTTTGGGGGGTCTCCTTACTAAAACCCAAGTAAAAGGAAAAAGGGTACCCTTATTGTTAAGGGGTTATATCCTGGACAAAGCCCTAAACCCTAAACCCCTAAGCCCTAAGCCCTAGCGGCCCTAGCTCCTGTTGCTGGAGAACCTAGGATACGTGGATGTCTTTGTCTTCGCTCGTTCAAAGGAGCGCTCCAAGGCCATTCCCTCCCTGAAGCTGGGTTGCGGTTCAGGAGCTTATATAGTTATTTTAACAATTTAAGTTAACCATAAGAGGGGATATATAATCATATATGGTACATGGTAGGGTTTCCTTTTCATCGTAACTTAGCTTAGATACCCTAAACCCTAAACCTTATCATCATAACTTATTTGAAGTTAACCATAATAAGGAAGATATAGTCAGGAGTAGGGTTTCCTCATAGTAACGTAGCTTAGATACCCTAAACCCTAAACCCTAAACCTGATCATCATAGCTTGGTTTAAGTTCCTTAAGAGCAACCCAGGAAGATGGGCATCAGCGAGATGATGGGAGTCTTTCATGCGCACAGCGCCGAAGAGCTGGAGCTGCTTGCTTCAGAATTGTCCGAGGCTTCCGAAGTTGGGCAGGGTGGTCACATGGTGCAAGCTCTGGAAGAGGTCTCTTTTCAGGATTCTGAGGCTCTTTGGAAGTCGATCAAACAGAACCTGGCCGATCTGGACCGACAAGTCCGGGCCGTGCCAAAGGAGCGATCCGCGAGCACCAGCGTTGGACAAGAGTGGTCATTGCAAGGCTCGACGAAAAGGACAATCGGCGCATGAACTGTCATCGAGGACATTTTTTGCTTACCCCAAAACGCAGCAGCAGGAATTGCAATTGCACCTGCGTATCCGTTTATCTGGGTCTATAAACCCCGGATGGTCAACAGTGCTTCATGTTGGCTGTATCAGAGGTTTCATCAACATGGTTATTCTACTGGTACATGTGTTATTCCGATAGTCGTTACATTGCAGTCGGTATCTTGCCAGAACTACAATCATGTATCATGCTTCTTCCAATAGCTGCTACTCGCTGCTAGTCCGCATGATATCTCTGAGTCGTGCTCTTATCTTGTGTAACTTGGGCATATAACCCAACAACTTATAGCGTTGTTGTAAGACTTATTTTACCTTGCATGTTGATGAAGCTCCAAGAGATTTTTAGAATGGTGTTTTGGTTTTACGGTTTTGGTTCTAGAGATGCACAAAATGGGTATAGAATGTTAAGCCCGTACCAGCATATAACTGCCCGGGCCATCCGAATTCATACTAAAGAACTGCATGTGGTAACCCGTAAAGAAACCCTGCTAGACCCTATTCTACAATCTTGAAGACACCTTTCTGAGCCTGGCCCATGCGAAGGCCCCTCTTATAGTAGCCCTTACAGCAGCCCTTGTTGTAACCCGAAAAGAAACCCGTATAGACCCATGTATTAACCCTGAACCCTAAACCATAGAAGTATACAGTAACCCAAAACCCTATAAGTTTATCAAAACCCTGTGGCCTACTCGTCTATGATCCTGAGCCTTATAACCCTTACAGGAACCCATATAGCAACCCTTAAAGGAACCCTCATAGTCACTCTTATAGCAACCCTTACAGACCCCTCTATTTAAAGCCTAGACCCCTAACCCCCAAACCCTAAACCCCTAAATCCCAAACCACAAACCCCCCAGACCCTAAACCCCCAAACCCCAAACCCCCCTAAACCCTAAACCCCCCAAACCTTAAACCCCCCGAACCCTAAACCCCCAAAGCCCGAAGGTATGGAAGACGACGGACTTCACGGAGCTCACGAACGTCGGCCTGCGAGTTGCTTGGCCTCTGCTCCGGGGCGCGTCCCCAGCTTTGGGTTTCAGTGAAAATGGGAAACCTAGGGATGTTTAGGGTTCCTTTTAAAAAATGGGAAGCCTAGGGATGTTTAGGGTTCCTTTTAAAAAATGGGAAACCTAGGGATGTTTAGGGCTCCTTTAAAAAATGGGAAACCTAGGGATGTTTAGGGTTCCTTTACAAAAAGGGGGAACCTCGGGATGTTGAGGGTTCCTTTACAAAAAGGGGGAACCTAGGGTTCCTTTAAAGGGGAGGGTTAGGGTTTCCCCTTGAAACTTGAAACCTCGGGAGGCTTACGATTCCTTTAAAAAGGGGAAACCTAGGGAGGCTTAGGGTTCCTTTAAAAGGGGAAAGCTAGGTTCCTTCAAAAAAAGGGAAGCCAAGGGAGATGTAGGGTTCCTTCCCTTCTAAAGGGGAAACCTAGTGGAGTTTCGGGTTTCAGGGCTTAGGGCCTAAACCCTAAACTCCTAAAACCCTAAACTCCTACACTCCTAGGCCCTGTAGACTCCCAAACCTCCGAAAGTCCTAAAGCCCTAAACCTTATAAACTCCTAAACCCTAAACTCCTAGGCTCCTAGGCTCCTAAGCCCTAAGCACCTCAACTCTAAAGCCGGCACAGACGTAGGGGCTGAGTAGGTAACCTTTAACCTTTTGGGGCTTATATAAACCTACTATAATTCAAAAGGTTATCCTTTTTTGGGGCTAAGGTACTCCTAAAACCCTAAAGTCCTAAACTCCTAAACTCCTACAGTCCTAAAACCCTAAACCCTTATAAACCCTAAACCCTAAGCCCCTAAGCTCCGAAGCCCTAACCTTAAGCACCCTAAACACCTCAACTCTAAAACCGGTACACAGACCCAGAGAACTCAATACCCCTTAGTTAAGGAATAGACCTTAAATCATAATATTATAAGGCCCCTACAATTTAAGGTGTATTCCTTAATTAAGGGGTATTGGGTTCTCTGGGGAAGTGCCACGAGGAGGCGAACCTGAAGGCGAAACTGACGGAGATGGAGAAATGGGCGGCCGAAGCAGATGCCAAGCACGAGGAGATTGCGTGTTAGGGTTTAGGGCTGTTAGGGGTTTTGGGGTTTCGGGGCTGCGGGGTTTGGGGGTTTAGGGTTTAGAGGTTGAGGGGTCTGGGGGTTTAGGGGGTTTGGGGGTTTAGGGGTTTAGGCGTTAGGAGTTTAGGGGTCTAGGGTCCAGGGTTTAGGCTGTTTAGGGGTTTAGGTTTAGGTTTGGGTGTAGTGTTTAGGGGTTTAGGTTTTCCCAGCGTACAGGGGTTTAGGGTTTGAAGTTGGGCTTTCCAATTTAGGGTTTAGGGTTTAGTTGTTTGGGGTTTAGTGGTTTAGGGGTTTAGGGTTTAGGGTTTTAGGGTTCAGGGTTCAGCAGCTCCGGATCAAGCAGTCTCAAGTCGAGCTCGCTATGTTGATCTTAGAAAAAACACCCACACAGGCACCCTCAACAATGAGAAACCATTTTTTTTCAATCCTAGAGCTTACGTAGATCCTACCCTAAAACCTCTATCCTGAACCCTTAACCCTTGCGGTTCAACACCAGAATTAACGTTAAACCCCATCATACCAACCCTATACCCTGAAGCCTAAACCCTGAACCCTCGGCCCTGACACCTAATCCATCAACCCTGACCCCTAAACCCTAAACCCTGACTCAGGCCCAGGCCCGGGACCCTAAACCCTGAACCCTGGGCCGTGATCCTTGAACCCTAGGCCCTGCCTGAAAGGGTCATTTTCCAAGGAAGGCCCGGGACTTTTTCCAAGGAACCCGGGCCCTTCGTTGGAAAAGGGTGATTTCTTCGCCAGCGAAGGGCCAGGCCTCCGTTGGAAAAAGACCCTTCCTTAGTTGGAATCTGCCCCAACAAGCATCGAAAGGGCCATTTTTTGCCATGAATGAGTGAAGATTTAAATACCTTCGATAAAGAGTGTTTAGGGTTTGAGTCAAACAGCTACTGTCTGGGCCCAGGGATTTAGTATGTAAGCTTACAAGTAGCTTAGTTGGAGGTGGAAGCAGTTGCGCTTACTCTTACCTTGCTGCTGCCCTAGCTACTAAGTCCCATTATCCTCCAAGTAGTGTTGCCACCCTCAACATGGAACCCCTAAAAATGGGGGCCTTACTCTGTTCGAAGGCTCAGCATATTCAATATACCCTCGATCAAGCCTGCAGTCAAAAAGACTAGACCCCAAACCCTAAGCCTTGAGACTCTGAACCCCATACTCTAAACCGAAAACCTAAGACCCAACACCCTACAAACCCTAAGCCTGGAGACCTTGAACCCCAAAACCCTAAACCGAAAACCCTAAAGCCCAAAACCCTACAAGCCCTAAGCCCCAAACCCTGAGCCTTGAGCCCTTGAGCCCAAGACCCTAAATCCCGCCTTTGTTGGGTTCTTGTTAAGGGATTTAATTTAAGTTACCATAATAGGGATCTATGGTAAATAAGAATATGGTTTCCTTATTATGGTAACCTAAATTAAATCCCTTAACAAGAACCCAGTTTGCCAGACGGCCCGAGAGGAGTGGGAGAAAGGCCCCAAGACTTTCCAGTGCCCGGGCCTCATAAAGCCGGACATCGTCTTTTTCGGTGAGGCCCCACTCTGGGCTTCAGTTGGGATGTCGCGTTTCAAGTCGAGCAGAAAGGATTGTGGATGTAGGTTTAGGGCTTCAGCCTCGACATTCATAAGTCGATCTTCCATTGATGGGGATTTAAGTATGCGGTAGAGCTTTGAGGATGAGGTGGGTTTAGATTTGGGTCTTTTGGCTGAGAAGCGTTCAGTGCCTCCATTCCTCCCCTGTTCTACTGCAAGGGGAGCATGAACCCTAAGGGTCCAAGTACCTATAGTAATCATATACTCTCCCAAATAGTAACCTACATAACTACTATCCGAAACCTAAGTACCTAATTATTGGGTCCTTTGGACCCTTAGGGGAACCCTAAACCCTAAACCTCTGAAACACGTGGCCCTGAGGGCTTGCCTCCACGCTTCACCTACCTGGCCGAGCGTGATGGCCGCGCCTGCGATCTGCTGCTGGTCTTGGGTACCTCTCTCAAGGTCGGTTTCCCTATAAGCCCTAAGCCCTGAACCCCTGAACCCCTAAATCCTAAGTTCCTGAAGAAGCCCTAAATCCCTAAACCCCGTAACCTTAAGATCCCAAGAAAGCCTTAAACCCCCTAAGCCCCTAAACCCTAAGTTCCTTAAAAAGCCTCTAACCCTAACCTTACTAAACCCTTAAGTTCCTTAAGAAGACTCTAACCCTAAACCTTACTAAACCCTAAGTTCCCTATAAGCCCTACGCCCTAACCCTAAGCGCCCTAGACACCTCAACCTTAAAGCCGATTCGGAGAGACGGGATCAGGGTAGGACTCATTGTTGAAGCTTGTTGGTTTCGGGGTTTAGGGTTTAGGGTCTTATGCGTTATAAAGGGGTTTACAGTGTTTAACGTAAGGGTTGAGGGTTTAGGGTTTTAGGTGCTATAGAATTTGGGTTCATAGGCTTTCGGAAACGTATGTTTAACAGGTATTGGCTGCAGGTTCTGAAGTTTCGATGTTTTACATCGCCTTGAGCTCTTGAGCCCGACAATCGACAAAGGCCAAAAAACTTTTGCTTGAGGCCCTGCCTAACTTAGCGGCAAAGCTCGCGGCCGAAGCTGTCACAGCAGCGACTGGCAATTTCTCCTTCGGTTTCATGCGCCGCAAGCGCCATAGCATGAACGCATGGTATAAGCTCAGACAAGAGCGGTGAAACTCCAGCCCAATCGTGAAGAATAAACATTCAGCTTAAAAAAAGCGCCGCTTCGCGGGCTGCAGGCGATGCGAATAGGACTGACCCCAAACTGGAAGTGAAAGTCAATGTCTGTCTTCGAAGGAAACCCGTGAATCATAGCCTCAACTTAAACTGAAGATGACAAGCGCAGCCCAACCTGGGACCGGATGTCA